TTAAGTGATTTCATAACAATTCAAGGCATAATTATATCAACTTTTTACCACTTAACAAATATATCTTGAAGGATTGGATGTATGAGAAGATATGGAAGAAGATTATATTGTTGATCCGCTACCTGAAAATCCCACCATAGTTCAAATGAAATTTCACAAAGAAAGAAAAATGAGGAAGACAAAAGTTAAATCATGTCTGTTTGCTGGTGTTTCACAAATGATCCTCACCAAAATCATGACGCTAAAGTCACCCAAAAAAATTTGGGATTATTTGAAAGATCAATATGAAGGGGACGAGAAAATTCGAGGTATGAAAGTTCTAAATTTGATAAGGGAATTTGAGATACAAAAGATGCAAGAGTCTCAGACAATTAATGAATACTTAAACAAATTGTTGGGTATTGCTAACAAAATAAAATTGTTAGGCAAGAAATTTCCTGATTCTAGAATAGTTGATAAAATTCTGGTAACTGTGTCAGAGAGATATGAATAATCTATTACTTCATTAGAAAACACAAATTATTTGTCTAATATTACTTTGGTAGAAGTGTTACATGCTTTACAAGCACAAGAGCAACGAAGATTGATGAGAGGAGATCATGTTGTTGGTGAAGGTTCTTTACTATATCATGATGGAGGTTTTCTCTAAGCCAAGAATAACAAAGGTACAAGATCACGAATCTTTTCTATCTGTCCTCATTGCAAGAAAAATAATTACACACCCAAAAAGTGTTGTTGGAGGCCTGAAGTGAAATGTCACAAATGTGGTCAATTGGGACATATAAAAAAGATATGCAAATCACAACCAGAAGAAGACGTCAAGGTTATAGAGGATAGAATAGAAGGGGAACTTCTTCAGATTATAGAGGATGGAGTAGAAGGGGAACTTCTCCTTGCATGCTCTACAATCAACAGATCCACAAATTGGCTTATAGACAATGGTTGTACAAACCACATGACTCATGATCGAGAACTTTCAAAGAGCTCAACAAATCACATATTTCTAAAGTGAGAATCGGTAATGAAGAACAAATGGATGTGAAAGATACGGACACAAACTTTGTGTGATTAAAGATACAAATAATTTGGAAATATTCAAAGTTCACATGAAAGGAAAAAATTTCACTTTAGATTTGATGAAAGAAGAGTTGATTACAAACGAGAATATAAAAGAAAAGTCAAAGAAAAAGCATGAAGAATATTTTCTTAAAAGGAACTTGATGTTGAGGAGGAAAATAAAGATATAGATGAAGAAACAATTTCTAACTTTCATCAAAGAGTCAACGGTACTACCATGGAGTTTGAAAGAAACAAAGGAGATAAAATTGATAAAGGAAGAAATACTTTGATGAATAAAGTGAAGTTGAATGAAAATATAATCTCATACAAGAAAGAAGATGACAAGAAGTACAAACATAAAAAGAGGAAAAATTCTAAGCAAAATCAAAGGAAGAATATTAAATTCAAATAAATAGATATTAAAGTAAGGAGGAATGTTGAGAATATTAATTTATTATCTTTTATGAAAATTAGGTATTAAGAGATTTTATTATCTTTTAAGAGAGAAGATAAAAATATATTAGGTTATTATTTTAATTTAAGTAGTTATGATTGAAATATTATTAATATTTGATATTTTGTAATATTTTTACTCTATATATACATAGAGTACATGAATAGAAATATACCCACATGATATATCAGAAATACATATACACAAAACCCTAAAAATTCCCATTACAATAGTATTATCATTGTTAATCACACTAAACTTGATCTATATATGCTCACCCTTCCATTTTTATTGGCTTCAAATAGCACACCAAATGATATCTCCCTCTAAGTCCATTGATCAATTCTCTCCTTCTACTAATCAATCCACTTCTATTGATTAACTATCTCCTCTTCTAAGACGATCCACACGTCTTCGCCAACTGAAGATTTCCACAGTACATTTACAGTAATTGGACAATCTTTTTCTCCAGGTATCCGCTATCCTCTTACACATTCTTTTTCTAATGATCGACTTTCACACTCTTTCTAATGAGCCTCGTTCATATGTTAAACCCTCCAAACATGATTGTTGGATTAAAGTCATGCAACCTGAAATCACTACCCTCGAAGCGAATAACACTTGGTCTCTCACCACTTTTTCTCCCCATAAAACAACCATTGTGTGTAGTTGGATCTATAAGATTAAACATAATGTTAATGGTTCCATTGAGAGGTATAAAACTTGTCTTGTTGCCAAAGGTTACACCCAAATGGAAGATTTTGATTTTCTTGATCCATTCTCTCATGTCGCTATTCGTCTTGTTCTTGCCCTTGCTACCATTCACCATTGACACCTCAAGCAATTAGACTTTAACAATGATTTCCTTCATCGCTATCTTAATGAAGAAATTTATATGCAACTCCTGTTAGACTTGAAATGCTTCTCAACCCAATTAGGTCTATTAACTCCATCGTTCTCTCTATGTCCTCAAGCAGGCCAGTCATCAGTGGTTTGCACGAATCTCATGATTTTTCTTATCCCATGATTACAAATAGTCACCATCCGATCATTCTCTCATTCTAAAGAAGTTAGGTTCCACAATCATCATTCTCCTCATTTACATGGATGATATTATTCTGGTAGGAAATAATATTATGAAAATTACTCACATCACCTCTCTACTTGACTTTGCCTTTAAGATTAAGGACATTTATGATTTACTATTCTTCTTAGACCTCGAAGTTGCCCATAGTCGTTTTGGCATTCACTTATGTCAACGTAAATATACTCTTAATCTCCTTTCTGACAATGACTTGCTCATCTCTCGACTTGCATATACACCCATGGATTACTCAAATCATCTACATGCTACCATTGGTACACCACTACCTATTCCTTTTGTATATGATCAACTGATTGGACAACTTATTTACCTTACTACTACACGTCCATATATTGCTTTTGCAGTCCAACACCTTAGTCAATTCGTCTCTCAACCTACAAACTCTCACCATCAAGCTTCTTTTTTGTGTTTTATGTTATCTAAAGTAAAGTCTAGTTATGGCATTTTTCTCACTATTTCCAGTATTACCCAGCTCAAGTCTTTTAGCGACTCTGGTTGGGTTGGTGTCCTGAATCACGACGTTTTGTTATTGGTTTCTCCATTTACCTTAGTAACTCTCTCATCTTTGGCACTTCAAGAAGCAACTGACGATCTCACACAACTTTTCTAGAGCTTAATATTGTGCTTTAGCTTCAATCACCTATGAAATTCAGTGGCTAACATATCTATTAATTGATATTGTGTTTGTTTCACACGTCCAACTTTGATTTATTGTGACAACCAACCTACACTTCAAATTACTTCCAACCAAGTTTATGAACGTATCAAACACATTGATATTGACAGTCATATTATAAGATAAAAGGTCACTATTAGTTTGATTAAACTACTACCAATCTCTTTTTCCTCACAGATTGTTGATATATTCATAAACCGCTTTCTTCAGCTGTGTTTGCTAACATTTGTTCCATGTTAGACATGTCTAATATCTACGTCCAATTTGAGGGGACTTTTAACCCTATCATACTTGTAACCACACATCTTTTGCAACAAAATCGCACCTTCACATTTTTTATTTCTCATTGTAACCATTTTCTATTATTCTGCTTTTTCACTTTTTATTATTATTATTATTATTATTATTATTATTATTATTATTATTATTATTATTATTATTATTATTATTATTATTATTATTATGTATCTTCTCATTCTACAATACACAAGATTTTATTTTGGTAATTGTACCTCTCTTTCCTCTCATTTTTGCTTTTATGAGTTTTGGTATGACCCTTTTGATCCTGTATGTTTATTAATAGTCGATTTTCTATTCATTTTACAAGAATTGGATCCGTGAAGCGAGCGGTTCAAACTGAAGTGAACTACCACAGTGGTACTGATTTGTTTCTCGTAGAAATACTAGTATGCTTGGTTTCCCGATATTAAGTTCTTGAAGCACCATCTTTTCTTCTAAATAGTCCTTGAAAGTAATGAAAATATACAAATAATCCTTTAAATAGTGAATATTCATCGATTTAGTCTCTGGATTGATATATTTCATTAGCATTGAGGGTTAATATGCATAATTTCTTCTAAATAGTCCCTTTCTTCTTTAGGATTAGATATATAATTTCATTGGTTTAAGAACTGTTTAGGAAAGAGAACGACATTCAAATATCAAACTTATTAGTCTATAAGAAATTGCTAGACAAGGTACAAAATAGAAAGGGAAATTAGAAGGTCTTGGAGTTTCAACCTGTGGTTTGACAATGGAAAATAAAAAAATTGAAAATTTCCACTTTCCTCTTTCATGTGGTAATGAAAAGTGAAAAAATGTGAAAGAAAAATTATGGAAAATAATCAAAATTAAAACCACCCTCACTCATATTCCTCTCTTCATTCAATGGGAGGAGTTGCCAGAAAACACGGGTCGATAGTGAAAATGTGTCTACTCTCCCAACATTCCACGTTTCTATTTCTGTACCAAGAAGATAGAATGATTTTTCATCCCAACTTTTTCTTCAAACCGTGTACACATTCTCACTTGACAACGCCAAGTCACAATAAGTTTGGGCATATATCACTGCAGGTAATGATCTAAACAACTGCACAATGTTGATTATAGTATTCGAAACATTGAAACAAACAATCGTAAGACAGAGATATATGCACTACGACTACTGGGAGCAGTAAATACACCCAATTACAGTTTTTCTCAGGCTGACAGCAAAAAATTTGATCAAATATACATTGGTATAAGAAATCCACACCAATTTACAACAAATTTTAGTGTAACATCACAAGAATCAAAGTGAATATAAACATAAACGCGCGCGGACACACACAAAGCTAAAGAAAAGCACTGATATCACTTTTAAGTCACACAACCCCTGAAAAATCCATTATTCCTTCACAGTATGCTACACCCTGATCTCAACTCTGTCACTGAATATTTTGAATTCTTCTGACTATAACCTGATCATAGAAATTTTTGGTCCGTAAAAACAGACCTAAAGCTGTCAAAGAACCCAGAATAGTGGCAGATGCCATTATGAGAAATGAAATCATAAAACAATGAGTTCCAATGCATGTATTTCCTTCGGATGCTTCTTTGTCATATACATATCCAACTACTCTGACTGAGAATATATACGAACCCACAGGACTTGCTATACTAATGGTGTTGAATATGCTACCCATATTTCCAACACCAAATATCTCAGAAGTGATTGTGGGCATTAGGGACCACTGAGAGCCATAACAAATACCCACCAATACTGAACCAGCATATAGGGAACCTGGAAGTCCAGAAGATATCACAGCATGGCCAATGCTCATGATCATTAAAGTGATGACCATGAATAAAGGTCTTGCCCATCCTCTTGTGTGCAAATAATAATCTGACATATAACCAGCTCCAAAGCGACCAAGAAAATTCCAGATGCTCCACAGAGAAACTAAGGAACTAGTCTCATGGCTAGTATAACCAAGAGATTCCCCTATTTGGCCCAAATTATTAACAGTTGCAAGTCCTGATCCCATACCACAAGCAATAGAAATAAACAAAATCCAAAAGTTCACAGTTTTCACTGCTTGGAAAATATTCATGTTTTCTCCTAGTTGCAAATTAGTCCTTTGACTGTTCGAAGAATCTTGCATTGCATCCAGCTTTTCAGTAGTATCCAGGGGGCTTGGCTCCGCAATTAGTTGTGACCTCTCATCCAGCAAGTTTTCTGAACTTCTTCTACCATAGCTCTTTTCATGTGCTTTAAATGCAATGCAGATAAGTGAGGCTAGCAACAACAAAAGACCAACAAATATAACAATGCGCACCAATGGTTGCAGACTAAATATGTTCCCTAGGATTATATCAACCATAAGGTATGCAGCAACAACCAGAGCCATCAAAGAAAATATATTTAAATACTTCCTTTCTTCATCCTCACGAGTGCTGTGGATTCTTACAAACCACATAAGCAGCAAAGTATTTAGAGGTGGTAAGAGTGCTAGCATCAGAAGATATGACATAGGCTTGTTGTTGAATATTGTTCTGTACACTTGAATTAATATTGCTCCACTTAGACCAAGAAATCCCTATCAAAAAGCGGAAAAACCCAATGGCCAAACTTAACAGCATGCCACAAGAATTAAAGAGGCAGGGAATATCTATTTAATGCAGAGGACAATATTAATGCGAACACATATTTGGAAGAAAAAGAGACAGGTTCTATTGGGATTGTATAAAAGGAATAAGCTTAGAACAATTAAGAAACACTATTTTAATTGTTCCATTTAATTATCACTTGCCTCAAAATAAAATAAATGGACCTGCGGTAATTTAATTTTTCCTTAAACAGTGGTTAGCACTCTACAAAAAGATAAATAAAAAAACAAAACCTTCAAAATGCCGACAATGGTTCCGGTGTTGTGCGGAAAATTATGCACGCCGGTGACGACGTTTGAGGTGTTGAAGAAGCTCTGCGCGTGAGCTGCCACGAACATGAAGAGGCACATGACGGGGACGGGGACGGGCGGGAAGAGGCCGGCCACAGCGGCCCACATGAGAAAATAGCCCAAGAAGCATTGGGCCGAGCCCAAAAAGTGGACGATCCAGGGCCCTGTTGTGGTTGTTCGAGCAAGGAAGTCGTAGAGGAGGCCGGAGACGACGCCGGCGTTAATTCCGATGTCTTTGGAGACGGAGACAAGGTCGAGGGTTGATTGATCATAGTGCTGAGTGGACTTTAGAGTTTGAGAGTAGATGGAGAAAGTATAAAGTGACCCGCTGGTGCACTGAATCCATATGCTCGCCACCGTGGATACCCACTTCGAGTTAAGATAGAGACTGAAGTTCGCAAACTCCATTCCGGTGAGTTCCCTCAGTTTCACAATTTCTCAGTGCCTCTACGGTTCCTTATCGAAGTTAGAGTTTCTCATTTTTTATTTTTTTTTCTTAGTATGTGTGGTGAGAACACGTGGGACACTGTTCTTGAGGCACCTGTTCCTGTTTGCTACCATTTCTAGTAAAACTAGTGTCATCATGAAGTTTTTATATTAATAATAAATAATATTTTAATATTAATAATTTCTATTAATAAAAAATAAGAAAAAATAAATAAATGGTATAAATGATTTCAAATTTTTAAAACTTTAAATGAAAAAATTATATTAAAAAATCTTAAAAAATAAAAAAAATCTTATAATACATGAAAGCTAAATTCGATGAATTATATAATATAAAATTTTAAAAATATTTGATTGGTTTTTATAACAACTTAATATATTACATAGCAATAACAAACTAAACTAGATGAGAATAATAAGATATATTGCATGAAAAAGATAAATTTATTGAAGAATATTGTAAATTTATATTATACAATACATCTCACTCAATTAAATAATGAAGAAAGAAAAATCATAAGTAATGACAAATTATAATTTATAAAGTAGTTATATGATTGTTAATAAAACTTATTAATTGTGTTTGTGTAATTTCATGATTATTGAGCATAATTTGTAAGCAATAATGATCATCATAAATATACATTCTCATAGAGTAAATAATTAAAAAAAAGTATAATAAATAAATGAAGTAAATATTATATATAATTTTTGGTATAATAATGTATCTGCATGTATTTAGAGGTTAAAAAAAAATTCCTTGTACACTATATTTTTAGTACATGATTTTACATTCCTTTCTTCATCTAATATAAGCATTTTGAGTCTTTTTTTTTTTTGACTCTTAAAATGACCACATAGAATTGATCATGAATGAATAATGGATATGAAAGATAAAATCTAACATTAGAGAACGATTGACCTTGACTCTTAGTGATTGTCATTGCAAAATACGATGATAATGAAATTTGTCTTCTTTGAAACTTGAAAGAAAATCCAGAATCAAAAGGAATCAAATTCATTTTTAGTATAAAGATTTTGTCTTCAATATTTTTTTAGCAATTACAGTAGCTAAAATGACATTTTTTCCCAAATCATTCACTTGCAATCTTGTTCAATTACATAAATCATTTGCTTGATCAATGTTTCTCAACAAAATTACGGCAACACCAACATTTTTTCTTCATCACCAGGAATCAAATATAAATAAAATTATTAATTTCCTCAACTGCATCAATAGTAGGATAAAATATGACTCCATCATCAAAATTACTAGCAGACATCATGTTATGTACAAAATGAGGATAGATAAAATTAACTAATAAAAGTAAAGGTGTTTCGTTGCCTTCAATTAAAAAATCTTTGGGTATGTTAATATGTCATTCACCATTTTCATTCAAAGGCATATCTCCATCTTCAATCTTTAATATCCAATCAGCAAATTCTTTTATATCTTTTGCACTTTCATTTGTTTTTGCATTATTTAACCTCATATTCTCTCTAAGCATTAGAACTTTACAATTTCTCCATGCTTCAGAATAATTTATAGATGACTTCACTACATCTTATCTTGATCCCTTTCTAATAACAGGCCAAATTTGCCTAAAATCACCTCCCAACACAATAACTTTACCACCAAATGGTTTATCAAGATTCTCCACATTTGTTGTTTTCATAATATCCTTCATGGTTCGATCAATGCTTCAAAGCATAATCTATTCATCATTTGAGCCTCATCCCATATAATCAATTTTGTTTTCATCAAAAGTTTAGCTCGAGCACTTCCTTGAGGTATATTGCAAGTTTATTCCTAATTAATTAATAATGGTATGCAAAATATCGAATGAGTTGTCTTACCTCCTGGAAGTAACAAAGAAGCAATTCTACTAGAATAATCATTCCCTTAGACTTAATGGCAGCTGGCAAAGTTTTCCAAACCTACCACTACCACCATATACATACAAAAAGAAAAACCCTCCTTTTTCTGAAAATAATGTTAAATGTACGTTATTTATTTCTTCCTTATGGTAATTAATCTCATCAATAATAAGCTTATTTTCAAATATGAATGAATATGAAAAATTAGGTTAAGGTAAACAACTATAATATTTTAAAGACCTACTATTTGACATAAGCAATTCATCTACTCGCAAGAGATAAAGAATATGCAATTCGGATTCTTCAATTTCAAAACCTGCATTGGAAAATAACATAACATGATAAACAATCAAATAAGTGATTAAAACTTACAAATTTACAAATAAAAAATTTGTATACTAGTAGGTTTAACTCCTTTCTTTTTTGGTATAAAATATCATCTGCCAACAATTTCTATGTAGAATTCCAAATAACATCTGCTTTAGACATTATGTTCATCACTAATAATGTAACAAACAAATTTCTCAATTGATTTCCTGAAGTAAGTTTACTTGCTTCATTGATTGCATGAATGAATTCTCTATCATTTGCTAATAGTCCCAAAGCATAACAAGCATATTGATAAGTTTGGTAAGTTTTCCCATTGACTATCTTTATGTTATCATGATCAATCACAGTATAGTATTTCGATTAAATAAAAGTCAATCTCACGAGAAATGGTTTCACTGGAAATTCCAAATCATAAGCTTACTAAGTGGATTAACACAAAACTGGTTTTTCATAAAGATTTGGGTTGAAAATAAATGGCAAAGAACTGTATAGTGTTTTTAGAAAAAATCAAATAAAAGAACTTAGGATTGACTTAATTCATTTTCCCTCTTTTGTATAATGGCTAGATCAAATTAACAACATCAATTAACCTATCAATGTTGATGCCACTTACTTAAATCATTCACATTGATTCTTCACACACGAAATTCATAAGAAAACCTAGTAAACGTCGATTCCTCATACATTTAAGAGATTTTCCAACATTAGGTCTAGGGTGTTAAGCAATTGATACGCTTATTCTATTCCTAGCAATTAACGTAGCAAATATTCTTAACCTGATCTAGGGTTTCAAGGTATATTTTCCAATACATCCCAAACATCAAAGATAAACCTTAAAGAGCACAAAAAAATAAGAATATCAACATTGAGAACATAGATTAATATCTCAAAGGAAGTACACCAAATCCTAAGAGAATGAAATTAGCCACTCATGATGGTCATTATAATGAACCAAATGAAGATGAATTGAAGATTGGACGAAAACTCAATCAGTTGTCACACCTTTCTTCTCAAAATCCCAAACTCCCTTCTCAAAACGCATATTATCTCTTTATAGAAAAGTTTCGCGTCATTCGATCAAGCGGAACTTTCGCTCAAGCGAGTAATGGTGATTTTCGCTCAAGCGAGTAATGGTGATTTTCATTCAAGCGAGATTTGTTCGTTTGAGCGATTGAATTCCTGAGAGCTTTAACGTATTTTTGCTCAAGCGAGCGTCCCTCTCGCTCAAGCGAATGACTTCCAGAGAGTTTTAACGTATTTTCTCTCAAGCGAGCGTTTATCTCACTCGAGCGAATCTTAAGCTGAAAATCTTCTTCCCTTTTTTCAAATTTTCTTCAATTAACTTGAGAATTATGATCCTTGCTCTTGTACCCATGTATTCTTCAAATTCATTCTACATTGGGAGAAGAATAGATTATAACCAACATAATTTAAGTGGTTAAATAATAATTCAAAGCATAATTATATCAACTTTTGTCACTTAACAAGGAACATAAGTAAGTCGTCCAATTTATATCCTTGCTTTCTTGGTTTCCATTCTCTCTATTAAGGCATCCATACAAACTTACAGGGAAATTCAACATATGTTAGGCTATTTCCCTTAACAAACCTTTTGTTAACCTCAAACCAAGCCGTGAACATTGTGGAAACATCTTCATTAGAATTCAAGATGACATGAATATGGTCATCATCTTTAAAAAAAATTGATTGTTGACTTATGAGATGAAATGTCAATCTTTGCACAGATGGCCATCTATGATGAATATCGAACCCCAAAATTCTCCAAACTGCCTCAAATGGTGATGAGTGTCTACAATCATAATATCTTTTAATTTTGTCAACAATTTCTGAATCAATAGAATCTGCATAATTACTACTAATGTTAATGATTACTCTATCTGGTCCTTTGTTGACATATTTAAATAAATACTTGATTGAATTTGACTTGTTGCAATATTTAAATAAATTGGACTATAAGGAATAACATTACAATTATCTAGTTTAAGTCCATTTTGTATAAAATAAATATGTCATTATCTAGACGTCTATAAGATAGATATCCATCTTCATCTATAGTAGTTGAAGATGTAAATTTCATAGGATAATATTTTGACATTCTACCTTCTTTCATGCCATGTGAATTGAATTTTGCAGCTCCACACGGACCATGGATCATGTAACTTGCAACCATGCTAGAAAGTTTTGGATACAAATCTAAATGAGGTAATTCAACAGAGATTACCTTATCAATGTCCTTTCCATTATTCAATTTATTTTTACTATCCAACCATAGTAATATGTGAGCGTGTGGAAGTCCTCGTTTATGGAATTTTATAATGTACATTCCTAACATAAAAATAAATAAGAAATAAGATATAAAATCATTATTATCTTTCTTGAAATCTAACATCATTTGAGCTAACTTCATTTTGAAAACCCAACAAACAATATCAGGTTTATCTAGAGCAGTTAAACCTCTTGCATGAACAAAATCATGTATTTCACTCTATTTTACATTGCATGTGATCATTATAAATAAATCTGGGTATCCAAATCTTTTTTCAAATAGCCATAGCATCTTGACAATTATTAAACATGTATCTCATACCACCGGCTAATGAAGCAGGTAGAACCACACGTTTGCCAATTGAAGAAGGATCAATCTCACCTCTTCTAAATGCTTCTTACAATCTGTTAAGAAGATCACAATGAAATAATTTTTTATTTTCTCATATGAATGACAATTTTTGAGC